AATACACTGTGATAGATGCACAGAAACATATCTACTACAGACACTACAGGATATCTTACCAATACACTGTGATACATGCATAGAAACACCCCTACTACAGACTCTGCAGTATATCCTACCATTACACTGTGATACATGCACAGAACACCCCTACTACAGACTCTGCAGGATATCCTATCAATACGCTGTGATAGATGCATAGAAACAACTCTACTACAGACTCTGCAGGATATCCTACCAATACACTGTGACAGATGCACAGAAACACCCCTACTACAAACTCTGCAGGATACCTTACCAATACACTGTGATACATGCACAGAACACCCCTACTACAGATTCTGCAGGATATCCTATCAATACGCTGTGATATATGCTCAGAAATACCTCTACTATAGACTTTGCAGAATATCCTACCAATACACTGTGATGCATGCACAGAAACACCCACCACTGCGGCATGCTAGCGAGACTCGTTGTGGTACGTACGCAATTGAACATTGAGATATAGTTAGATCATGTATCTACATAGTTGGTAGGAGTACAGTGAACATAAGGTACGTTAAGGGGGGGTTAGGGTTTAGGGTTTAGGGTTTAGGGGGTCTGACTCAGGTGAAAGCATGATATATTGATAAACGTTGTATCTGTATCAAGATCCAACCAGCAGGACAGTTTTGGCTCACAAATACCTTGACGGTACCACTTAAATGCACCGTAACACGAAAATTGGGAACGTTTTGTATCGATGTGAGGCATGCTAGTGTAAATCGGATAGAGCAGCCTACTTACATGAACGGCCAATGCGAGGAGAACACTCTTAACTACACCAAGCCGACATACTCAACTACTAACCAGTGGTCGAAATTCCCATATTCCAGTGGTCAAAACAGGACAGTGACATCACACTATATCACCACCACCCACTCACCACAGTGTCATACCCTTCTGTATTCAACTCTGGTCACACAAACACGCGCATGTACAGCGACGGTCAAAGGACACATACTGGATAGACATTCAAACAAGTCCAAAAGCTTATAAAGTATAAACGGTATATATATATATATATATATATATATGTATATATATATATATATACATACATATATATACATACATATATATATATATATATATAATATTTACACACATATATGTATATATATATCTATTGTTTTTGTGTCGTTTTCATCTCTCGTTTTGATTCTAAGGATCAGTTGTATCTGCCATCTGTATTGGTTTACACCTTCTCCATTGCAATTACCATCGGTTTGATAGTAGTTGAAATGGTCCAGATTAGTAGCGTTTCTTTTCCCTATTGGCTATTGTTTCAACCGTGGTTCACTGATAGTATTTACTCGTGCATGTGCGCATAGTAGTGGAGTACCTATCTTTTATGAGGTTTGTTTTCACGCACTGCATCCATCGTTAACAGCTCATGGGTTTAACAATCTTGCAGCTTCAACGCTTTCCGAGTACCTTTGTAATATAAACTGAAAATAAGGCATGATTTGCCTCTTCCATTGTTTTTGTATTCGTTGGTCTCGTATTGTATGCTCTTGATATGTCTAAGGCAAGTAGACACGCGATCAGTATTTCGAGATAGAACACAATTCGGGCTAACTCTTCCATCGCCGCCATTTTCTCCATGACATTGTCAGTAGCTTCGCAATCTGAACGTCATGAAACTCCGTATGTAATATAGTAGTCGAATAGAATGTCGAATCTGCTCTATCATCTGTCTTTTACAACATTTAATTCGGTGAAAAGTGCTGTTTAATTAATATCTTGAAGTATTCTTCACCCCACGCTTGATGGCAGAGACTGCCCTAATTCACATCCCGAATTTTTCCTGTTTATCATAGCCTGGTGACGTAAGACTGGACGACACCTTACACGGGGCTGAGCAGATGAACCGAGGAGGGCAACTGGTCAAGTTAGACCCGAGAGTATGGGCACTGGCAGAGACGCATTCACAGTCGTTCACAGTAGGAGATCGAGTGTACGGATGTATGCGGTTTGGTGCTTGCGCCTCGTACGTAAATGTGCCGGCACACCAGGTGAGCAACTATCAGTGACCAGATAACAGTGATTCTGGATTGCACCATCGCTAGTACAATTGTGCGCTGTCAAAAAAGTGCCCTTCTTTCTGACATAATCACCGAATCCTGCCTCAGTTATAGTCGTGGGCTGTAGGCGCGCGTGTCGTTATATATTTGTCCGTCAATTTATACCATTCAATTTTCGATTTAGATCAGAAAAATGCCAAACAACTGGAATTTCTCCCAAGGAGCCGCATTTACTGCTCAAACACTTACGAGCTACTATGCGCTTAAAGAACTCGGGAATATTAGAAGCGGAAAAGTTGTTTTTATCCATTCTCTCGCAGGTAAGATACCAACCTTATGTATATGTATTTGCCTTTGAGTTTTTAAGTAGACAATCAGATATTGCAGATGCCACAAGTTTTACTTAATATCCGCACATGATAATGACCAAGTCATCTCTGAGCATATTGCCACCTATTTTTGGGGGTCTCAAGATTATCTTTTCGGGGCATTGTGCATTTTTTTTGTATGTGCGCATAATTGAATGATGAGCGATCTTATATTAGATATGCGTTCGTCGTACTGGCTACACTGGCGCGTTGCAATGAAACATTTCTATACGATAATTGATGCTACAATTTATTTCAACCAGCTCAGGTGGTTGTGGAATGCAAGCATTAAAGATCTGTGAGAAACTGGGCGCATCTGTGATTGGCACAGGTATTGTTTATCGTTTCGATTGCGACTGTTGTCAGGGTCCACTTTATATTTTCCACGTCTATGTGCTGGCCATAGAAAGCAATTAGTGTTGATATCTAATATCTATGGCATGGAGTATGGTTCGCATTTAAGTTTGTTCCAACTTCTTTTGCGCTGCACAGTTGGTCGACCAGAGAAAGTTTTAAAACTCCTGGAAAGGTTCCCACATCTATCCATAGAACAAATTATAGTTAGAACGACCGCGAAGGAATTGGGCGGGCAAATCGACACAGCTTTAGGATATCTCCAGCACAAGGCATCGATTGTTTCGCACTCGGTATGGGTAATTACCATGCGTTCGCTCGATGTAGTATATACACTATCCTTTTATTGTGGTTGTTTTTTGTTTTTTTTCAAAGTTCGTCCCGCCTTATCAGTGCGCTTGAAAGTTCTTAAATGTGATTATATTTCCTATCTCGCTATTTGGTTTGTTCCGATTATGAATTTCTAACCTGTTCACGATGTACGGGATCAGGGAATTGATATCGTCATGGATGCGGTATTGGGCGATTGGTTTCAGCCCGTATACGACAGATTAAGGCCTGGTGGAAGGTATATCGTCTATGGTGCTGCTGATATGACCCCAAACTCTAACAAACTAGGATGGAACGAGTGGTTACGATTAGGTTACCAATGGCTGCTTCGACCCAAGTTAGATCTACTTGAGGTGCCCAGCAAGAATGTAGGTGTCATGGGCTTCAACTTGATCCACCTACTAAATGATGCCGAGCTTCTATTGCTTTTAATGGAGGAGATGGAGGCGCTCAGTCTTGAGCCTCCTCATGTGGGCCACGAGTTCGAATTCAGTGAACTTGTGCCCGCATTGAGTTTATTCAGAAGCGGTAAGACCACAGGCAAAGTTGTCCTGAAGGTGTGACTTAAAATTTTGGATTTTGGTCTCGAGACAGAATACAAATTAGACATCTTCGAATATTTATACAATCAACTTAATACTTCCACGGAATAATTTAACTATCCTAAAGCGTTTCGTTTTGCTATTGTTGTTTGTGTATTATATATATATATATATAGTAGTATCACTTTTTAAGGTGTTATCATATATGGTATACTTATTTTAAAGATCTGCCAGGCATTCACAGAGAAATAATGAAGTCTTCCACCGGCAACGAATAGGTACTGCATATCGCATAGTATACAAACATTACAACACTCGTATCGTATATATATATCACTATATACCCCTTCCTGGTTTGTGAATACCCCAGTATGAACTCTCTATGTAGTTAGAGAGATGAGGTCATGAGGATATACGACACTTTTTGACGATGTGTTCTCCCTCCAACGAACCGCTTGTGAGCTGCCGCTGACGACTGGCGAACACTGCTCAAACAAGGTCGCAAATCACCCTCTAAAATGCGCGTATATCGGATCTACATTCGTCTGCGGTCGAGTGACGATTGTCGACATAGCAATCTTGGAAAACATATATTTAGGCTTTTAAATATTTTTATAAAAAGAACAGTGGCTTTTGAATTCTGCTGGTAGAATACAAAATAGGCTCATCATCTGACAGACCAACATTGCATAACAGGTTCACCTGATTTTTTAATAAAAAAACAGAGCCCTATTGTTCCAAACCTTCAAAGTAAAAGTTCTAAAACACATCTCTAAAAAAAGTATTTTTATATATATTATATCTAAATACTAAATAAGTATTTTCATCTCTTTTGTTCATATTTAGCCTCCTGTTCTGTTTGTTTTTTTGGTTTTAAGTGAAATGCCAATACCGACGAGACCAATTCAGATTCTATTTGTAATCCTATCGTCATCGGACGGTGCTCTCTCTCTCGCTCTCTATGTATTTACTACGAAAATAGAATACATACTGATACATGCTTGCATAATTTTTAATACTCTTCGAAGAAGTCGCAGTCTCCTCGTAAGTCGCAGGGTGGAGACATTCGTATTTTTTATAAATATTTTAGTCTTCGCGAGACTAGACTTGAGTTCCAGTGTTTACTTTTCCATCTCCTCTCTACTACACATAGTATGAGAGAAAGAGTCTCTACTAGTCTAGTGAGACCTGAGTCAGTAATAGAGGCTTACTCTTTCTCTCTCTCTCTCTCTCTCTCTACTACTAGCTAGTAGAGTAGTAGAGTAGCCTCGAGAGACTCTATTTAACGTCTAGTAGTGCATTCTGCTATTAGTTATTACTGCATAGCCTTCAGATTGCAACATAAAATCAAAATATTCTCTTCTTGTGCACAAAACAAAAAACTCAATTACAAAATAAAACTATTACAGAGAAGAAGAAGAAAAGGAACTGGGAAGAATTCGAGGAAATCTCAGGAAAACTCAAAATACCAGACGAGAGTGAGATTTTATAGGTCAGTAGATAAAATGCGAGACAGTGCTGGGACTGGTGAGGTGGACGGGTGGGTAACTGGAGTCTGGGGGCTCGGGGAGAACTTGACAATGGTGGAGTACTCTGGAATGCAAGAAAGTCGAAACTCGAAAAGAGTAGGAACGACGAAAGTATTCGAAAAATGGTACTTTATTTTAAATAAAGTCAACATTCTTAAAAAGTACTCTTATTGAGACTTGAGGTATTTTTTTTTTAAAACAAATACAACCCAAAAACAAATTTCTTGTTGGGCGCGTTGAGAGTTGAGCTGAGAGTGACTATAAACCCTAAAAATTCTTGTTTTTGCCTAATTTTTAAAAAGTGACCGATTTCAAAAATTTATCTCGATTCAAAATATGGATTTGGGCCAATAGTATTAATTAATCATTGTGAAAGTTGGCTTCTGCTGAATATATTGACAATATTGAAATAATAGGTTTTATTTGTGTGGCATGTGCTTAATCATAGAGGATTTTTTGATAAATATCAAAAGCATGAAATTAAATTTTTTTTAAACGACACATGCATACATACATACATACATACCTAAATTTTTGTTTTTAAAAACTTAAAAAAAGGGTTCCCGTTTTTGAGTCATGAGTTCATGACCCTCTCAGGGTCTCAGGGCTCAGCCGCTCAAGGCCCCAGAGGCCAGGAGTCCAGGACCCAGTCACCCAGGCCAGGGCCCAGGCTGATGCTCTCTCTTGCTAATTTGTTTGCTAAATACATTTTTTGTTTTAGTTAATAGTTTTTGGAGCATTATGGGGGTTTTTTTTAAACACAAAAACCTTTCATTTGCTTTTGTCTTTAAAAAACAAAAAAAACAAATATATAGCTCAAGTCTCCACTCTTCAGTCTTCTCACAGACTCAGACTCTTAGTCTCAGACTTCAGAGTCACCGACACAGACTGGCCAGTGCAGGTCCCAGGAGTCAGGTACTCATAACTCAGCCCTCAGGTTACAGGTAAATAGGTAATCAGTACTACTAGTCACTCTAGCTCTATTACTAGAGAGAGTAGCCAGGTTAGTGGATACAGGTACTTTGGTTTCTAGCAACCAGTTATGAGATATAGGGCGGCAGGCCCGCAAGGCAGTGTGAGTGAGGGACTGAGGGCACAGTATCACAGAGTCACATCGATACTCGACAGTTCGACACACGGTAGGTCACAATTCCACAGACCGAAATTCGGAAACTTGCGAACTTGTTTTTGTTTTAAATGGAAAAAAGAAAAGAGTGATCAGACTTCAGACTGCAAAGGTCATTTAAAAAATACGTTACGGCTGTACTGAATAAAAATTGAAGGTTAATGCTAGTTTTATACACGTTTTAACGGTTCCGACGGTTGCATGTGATACATAAAACCCCCAAATTTGAGCTCCGTATTTACACCTAGAAACAACAAAATGGACCGTTGAGGCTATGTCGACTAATAAGAATCGACCATGTAATTTGAATTCGATAGTCAGTATCAGGTATTTAGAAGGTTGCGTTCGTATTTGGCGCTCTTGTGGGGCGAGATCGCTAACCTAGAAAATGTACCTTCATAGAAATACATAGGACCATAATCCCACATACGTAATAAAAATTGAACGTTAATGTTCAATTTTTATGTATTGTAAACATTTTAACGGGAAACCTTTTGCGCTTAGCTTCAGAGTGATTGCTTATGTGAGTTATGTAAATACAGTTGTAAATTAAATTAAATATACTATGTAGTTATATTTATTTACAAAACAAAACAAAATAGCTCTATTGAAGAATTCGATATGGATAAATTATAGAGCAACTCGCCGCAGAATCGCAGAGTTCGCACTCTTCGAATAGCTAAGACGAGGACGCCTATATACATGTGCCTAACTGCTAACATATGTCAAGCCCTTAAGACCGACCAGGGCCTAACATAAGTGCAACAAATGGGTTGTATCAGCGCTACATTTTCTAACTTTGAAGTCGAGCGCTTTCAGCCGACAGATAACAATCAAACCGGCAGAAAACAAACACATCTCACAAATGCTTAAAATCACATTAAATATATTTAAGCAAATTAAACTCGAAAAAGTATGAGACTGGTAGGAAACTGGGCCTGAGGTGGTTAATAATTTCGTGTCATGTGTACAAAATAGTTTTTTATTTAAAAACAAAACAAATGCCATACATACAGTATGTACTATGTACCCAAATTTTATTTTAAAACAAACCAACTTTTGTTTTTTTTTAAATCAAAACAAATGAAAATAAAGAAAACAAATAAAAAAATCCGACAATACCAGGGCGAATATTTTGTTTTTAAAAAAACCAAAAAAAACCCCAGAATAATTATATATAAAATATGGTTTCTGATGGACATAAAAAGGAGAACACTGATTGCTTACAAAATCATTGCTACTCGGAGACATCAGAAAACATCAACATGAAGGTTATATATAGTTTACTTCTCGGCGCTTTGGTCGCGAATATTGGTTGTCGTGCGCACACAGATTCTTCACAAGAACAAATAGCATATGAGAGCCGTAATGGCTACCTTTCGAGAAGAAGGCATCACTTGCCGGTCTATGGTGACAAGAGCACGAGAAAAAGAAGGCAATTTACATACCCAACAACATACACGTACCCCACGTACACATACTCGGATACCACTAGTACATCTACCAATCCTTTCAGCAATGTCGCCACTACCGGCACGACCACATACACATCCACAACAAATCCTTATACGACCACATACAATCCCACCACGGCCGCGACCACTAATACAAATACATTTGGGACGACAGCTGCTGCTGGCGTAACCAGTACAACCAGTACAACTACAGGAAGCAGTCAAGTGAGTGTATCGGGCAGTCAAGATGATACTACATCGCGACCTGGTGTCGGTGTATCTGATGGGGCTGTTGTAGGTACAGGTGGAAGTGCAGCGGATGTACCTGTGTCCTCTGTAGTCGATGCACCAGTGGCCGGAATTTCGATGGCAGAGGCACTCGGAGGGCCGAGTTCGGAAAGTTCAATGTCATCACCAGGCACAGCAGCGAGTAATCGCGTGTCTGACATTGACAAAATACTTATCGATGCGTATCTGGAGAAGAATTCGGCGGCTTTGCTGGCACCGGGTGCAAGTATTGGTACGCAAGACCTTATTGCACCTTGCGGTGTACAGATGAGAATTGATCAAGACCTGACTATCACGATCGACAATACGACAATCTTTTCCGCTGGATCTCAGGCTCTTTGCCCGAACAAGTGTAAGATGACAATGAAGTACGATGGTGAGTTGGTTATGTACGCCTTGCATAGAGGCGGCACACAGGAACAGGTTTGGAGCGCGAATACTGAGGGAGATGGATCGTACGGTATTTTATTCCCAGATGGAAACTTTGTAGTGCTGTCGACAGATGGTAAAGTGCTATTCAAGTCCACAAATAGCCCGCCAACAACGAATGACGCATGTGTGCTGCGTGAAAATACGATTACTTCTAAAATGCTTCCGAGATAGTCAATGAAGGCACTGACCAAACAACAGCGACCCACATCTCGGACTATGATAACTTAGCTATTAATGAATGTTTTAACAAAGCAAAATAAAAACATCACCTTTCAATTATTACTCATTAGATCATACGTTGGTTTGAGTGTGAATATATGCTATATGTCTTGTGGGATACTCAAAATTCAGTTCATATGGTACTAGCTAGTGCTACCGGTTGTGACAATTCGCTTGCTTGGAGCGATAACGAGGATAGTATACGTAGGGGTAGTGCGTAATACGGCGAAAGACCGTCATCAAGTTAAAGGAGATGAAACCTCGATTGAAATGGTACGAAGGAAATGCTAGCCTGCATGTGGCAGCATCACGATTTGACAAACTGATGGGCCTGGTTACTTTTTCGACGAAGTACAGACACCTTACGACTTTTCTCGTATAAAGAGACACATGTGCATAATTTCGGCCTAGGTACTAGAAGCAAGTTTCGAAATACATCAATATTCGAAAAAGTCATCGGTGTTATACTAAATTTATAATTTATTGGACTTTTCACTTTAGCGAGTATTACAATCACTCGGCAGTTCTACCACTCCGCTTCCCTGCTTTGCTACTCTTATTGTTGGCTGCTTGCCTCTTGATTGAATCCACCAACGCCTTCGTACTAGTTGTTTTATTCTTTGCCTTCTTTTGCTGGGGCTCCTCAGCATGCCCATTCTGCTTGTAGAGTTTCAATTGATTTCAGGATATATATATGTCAGTATCAGCAAAACGTTAACATGGAATGTTCTCTAGAAGACATTTTGCATTAGGTGACCGTAAAAGTGTCTGCATACGCTCGCGTAGCTACTGATGACCTCTCGTACTCGCACTTGAGAAAAAGTTTCCCAAACCGTACACAAACTCACACACCTGAACTCGAAAATAACCAATTAAGTGAGGCATACCTCATTTTTGTTCCTTCGCTTTGTCCTTTCGTCCTGTAACGTTTTCATAGCTTTCGTTGATTTATACTTTGCGTCTGTGGGGTCGATCGCGTATTCGGCCTTCTTGAAGAGTGCTTGAAAACGGTCATCTGCTACATCCACTTTGAAATCATCAGCTACAGCCTCAGCGGCTCCCTGAGAGTCAGCAAGCATGTGTAACATTGGCGAATGAGCATACAATGCAAGGCGTTGATATAACTACAGCAGGAATGCATGGAACATATAACATTTCTCTCGATTTGATTGTAATTTACATACCTTTTTAGACTTCTTCTTGCCCTTCCTGCCTTTCTGTTTCTCTTGTTTAATTATCTCCTTCAGATCAAAGTGCTCTTTGCCTGTTTCTGCTACATTATCGGGTAGCAGCAACAATTCCATATCTACATCGGGCGCGGCGTCTGCCTTCTTCCCTACCTTCGATTTCTTGTGTACATGTGCACAATGGGGTTGTACGTTAGTAGAAAACAAGAAAACCGCAAGTAGATTCGTCCTCGAGAACCAGTCTTTGTCTACTCCTAATTGCAAAAAAATCGAAGAATGAAATATCAAACAGGGGGGATTTTTACAGTGTAACAGTCTTCAGCAACTTCCCCTTTAAGCGGTGCACATGTATATCCATACTCCAAATAACATCATCGACGTTCAATTGATATGCTTTAACCCCATTTCATCTTCTTAGGCATCTTAACCTCCCACACATGCGCGACTTGCATTATGTTTATCCATACTCCAAATAACGTCATCAACGTTCAATTGAAATGCTATAACCCCATTTTCAAACACTTCGGTATCTTAACCTTCCACACATGTGCGACTTGCATCTCGGTTGAATGAGCAACGTATACCACGTACTTATGCCTCCGAAACTCATCTCAATAACAATATTTCATCCAACCCACGTTTGTCTACAAATCAGATATGTTCCCGATTAGCTGAGTGGTTGCTTGAAATCTGTGGCACTCAAATCTAGAGAAGTCTACCCATTTGTAGTCAATAACTGTATCGACGCGTCAGATACCACTTGACTATACCATTTCGTCTGATCGATTCTTGCATTCCACGTACCTGTGTGGCACTGCTTGGTTTAGTAGCTTTGTTTCCACGCGATTCATCGGGATCTTCAAAATCTGAGCCAAAGTCTTCATCGAAGAACGGATCGTTGCGGTCAATAGCCACATCATCGTCATCGTCCAGCATCTCCGTACCTTCCTTGGCAGCTAAAGATGTTTATATACATTTACATAAAATGAAAGACAAGATATGTGTACAAAGGATCATTCGGTAGTACTCCTCAGCGTACATTGTGATAGCTCTAATGAGCTACCAACACTATACAAACCCATCAAGCATACATATGTATACGACAGATACGCATTCTTGGAGCAATGAAGGATCAAGGCTGTTGGCAAGCATAGACCGCGGGCAAACACAGTATCCGCAAGGTACAATACTGTATACAATTTCAATATCCAATTTGATATGATAACAACCCTCTGAGGAATTCGCAGCAGTGTACGTACCTTTCCTTGCGGTTTTCTTCTTCTCTCTCTTCTTGTGCAGGTACTGATCCCACACACCCAGCTTCTCCGCCGCATCCCGTGCTTCCTTTTTCTTGAGCATGGCATTCGCATCATCCTTCAGCCCTGGCGCAAAGGTGATCTCCATATCCACCTCATCTCCCTTGGCCGCTTCGGTGCCCTTCAGCTCGGCAATGAGCTCACTGTACTTCTGCTTGCCGGCATCGTCATCGTCGCTCTCGTCGTCGCTGCTTCCGGAGGCCAGGAAGTTCTGTGGGTGAAGGATGATGGACGGTAAGCGCACGTGTTAGTATTCGGACGTGTTATTGCATGCCACCAACAGGTGTATATGGGTGCTGCTACCAAATGTAGAGACATACGCAAGTCTCAGTGTATTCAGCTGAACCTCGCAAAGCAATCTCTCGCACGTGCTATCACCATGTTAGAAGGCCATAAAGGATGGAGTGGAGACACTGGGTGTATCGAACGCAAACACACGCGCTCGAGTTCCATGGGGTAAGGGTGGGTGAGAAGTAAATGCGAATCGCACACACCAAGGACTCTTGCATCCATGCACAAGACGCGATGAAATGGTGTTATAACTCCCGAATATTCACTTCACTTACCTTGAAATCCATTTCCTCCAATTGCTCTTCTGTGACGGCTGTGTGCAATGTAACCGCCCGCTCGGGATCGTTCTGGTCCCACGTCACCTTGAGTTTCGACTGTTGCTGTGCCCCGCTGGTAAAGTCTCGTGGCTCGTAGTTCCTATTCATATGAAATAGAGATGCATATTAAGTGACACAGATACACCAGTTGTAATATACACCTAAAATAAAGCGTATATCACACCGACTTTATATGACGATAGCAAAGTCGAGCAAATTTGCCGAACGTCCCATAAAACTATAGAGCAATGTATGTACAGGTCTCCAGGCGGGAAGCTTCTCGACTGCTGAGAACTCTCAAATACACCTAAGAAGGGTTATGATACAAAACGCAGAAGCATGTGCGTGTATGCAGCGGTTTATACGATACCTATACGCGCATCTAACTATAAAAGACGTTGTGGACGAATTTACATACGTTGGAACCATGGTTGCGACCTGTTTCACTTCCTCGTCGAATTCCATGTCCGCCGGTATGAAGCGCAGATCCATCACACACCCTATGCAAGTGGGAAGAGCGACATTGCCGAGGGAATTAATTGCAGACAGCTGTAGTTAATATGATCACTAGTGCAGCTAACCCTATGACTGTGACAGAAGCCACACACTTACCTACACCAGAGCGTCAATATCAAAGGATCCCGGTATGATCACAGGAGGTGATACAACCAACATGGTTGTACATAACGAATACGAAGGGCGATTAAATGCCTAAAAAGAGTTTCAGTAAGAATGATGCGGAACGAAACTACACGGGACGCAGACACGGACAGCCAACATACCACTGTTGAGGAATTCCTGGCCATCGCATTCCTTGTATATGGCGCGAGCAGTTTCTACTGCATCACATTCCACAACTGCGTAGTAGTATTTGAGCCGATCCATCTGATACTGCCGCAACACCGTCTCGGCAATTGTTTCGTCATCGTCCTCTCCGGCATCTGAATATGGGCATGTGTCACGACTATACGTTAGCATGTGTTGAATCTTATGTATAAATATACTATACATGAAAATGAATTATGCACGCATGTAGCGTGTCTGAATCCGCATCCGGATAAAGATATGTGACGCTATCATAGTTAACATTTGTTGAATTTATGTTTAAACATACTATACATGAAAATGAATTGTGCACGCATATAGTGTATGCGTTTCCGAATCTGAATATAGTTCTGTGTTACCACCGTACGTTAGCATGTGCTGAATA